GAGATAGTTATCTGGTTAGCAAATCATGTTGCCTTTATTTAATATTTAGTGTAATGACTGATTGTGTCCGTGGTGGTAAACATTACTGGTGTATGTGGGTAGGGTTTGCATGCTAAGAGGAACAGTTACCTGGATCAGCTCAGAATAAGGGAAATGAAGCAGTCTTTGGCGTCACCTGTGTGGATGTTACATAACTCGGCCCCACGGTGGATCTTTCTTTGAGCTGCAGTCACACAATCAGGTGGACTGTAGCTGTGATCTCCGTTGTCTTTCCTCACGCCATTGTGGCACCTTTGTATGCCTTCCAGTAGGGGGTGATGCGATTACTGAACCCCCCAGGGACGAATCCAATTCTAACGAAACACGGCACCCTTCAATGCAAATTTGATAACGCACCTTTGAAAGCAAGTATGTCCTTTTCGTACCGAGCCGCCGAATAAATTGACCGAGCACATCCGTGGCGATTGAGTTTTGGACGCCAGACACCAATTCAAAGCTTGGCACTCGAACCCAGTGCCTTTCATGTTACCGCATTCAAATCAGCCATTTTTCCCTCCAGAGCTCAGGGGGCTTGTTAGCCGTCTCCCGTGCAAATGCGGGTCGCCCCGTTCCAGCGAGGGGCTTCCTCTTACAGGCCGGTTTGGCACGGCGTGGGTGGAGGCAGATGGCATCGGCGCCCGCCGCAGCTCTGCCGAGGTTCCCAGACCAGCACGGACCTGGGAGGGCCCAGTCGGCGCTCAGAGCGCCGCGGTGTGCCAGTTCAGAGGGGGCTGTGAGGCATCTGCCGCTCTTGGCTTCCGTCTGAAGCATCATAATCCGCCGCGGTGATGGTTTCTCCTGCTTGAGGACGGCTGGTGGTTCTTGAGTGCATGAGGCAGTGGCCAAGCCGAGGTCCATATAGATTTCCATCAGGAGCCTGCAGGCTCTCGAGCCGGACGGCTTCTACATGAGTGTCAGCGAGTCACGCAAGAAATATGTCCGCTACGGCCTGACAGATTGTGAGCATTACAGCAGCATTCTTACAGCATTTACTGTCATTTCTGAAAACACTCATGCAGGCCATTATGTCCTGCTTTTGACATTACAATACTCTGATTCTTAGCAAAAGCTTTTACACAAAGTGACAGTTTCAGATGCAACCAAAATCTTAGCATTTAAGCTTGATTTATTAAACAAAAATTTATGCATATTTGACAGCTATAGTGCTGTGGACTATAGATGCACATCTCATTATCTGAATCAAGTTACTACACATCTGTCAAGGTATCAGCCTTTCCACATCGTGGGCAATCTGGAAAAAACAAGTCAAATATTTTGGTCCCCTTGGCGAGTAAAATGAGCATGTGAGCAAAAGCGTAGCAAAAAGACAGGAGAACCCGAACCCTAATACATAGTATTTTAAGCTATTTTACGACATATTTCGAGAAACAATAAGATAAGTAAAATGATTGCTTTGTAGTCTTATACTTGCAAAAAAGTATCATAAAGTAGTGAAAAATGCTAAAGAAACAACAATAGTTTGCATTTATTTATAAAGACGAGTTTTTACAGTAGCAATTAAAATGAAAAAACAAGTGACATTTTGTAATTTACAAAGTTACTGCTTACCTGAATTCACAGTGATTAATGAATTGAAACAATGTATTTTTTTTTACTGCATTTCCTCAGTGAAAACTCACATCAAAAAATAAAAGGTTGCAGGTCCTCAATCAGTGTAAACAAAACCCAAGATTTCAAGATTTCTTGAAATCAAGGTTTCTTTTGTGTGTTTTAAAAATATTTCTATGACAAAAACTTGCAGAGTTTTTTTAAACGGTTTGGCGGGATTTCTGCTTGGTCCAGCAGGCAGGGCTTCCGACTCTGAAGGGTTAACCTAACTAACTGAGAAATTCTGCTTCCTGGAACACCCTCCTGACAACAACACATGCTGGACTGAGCGAGATCTTTGAAGTAGAATGTATGAAATGTTGTTTAAAATTGAGTATGGAAGACTGAATTAAAGTCGCTAGCACGGTAGCGGTCATGCCTAGCCTACCGTGATTTTCACTTAGCGAACATTTTGCTTAACGACCTGGTCATTGGAATGGAACTCGGTCACTAAATGAGCAACGGGTGCATAACACTCTCACTTCATCTTTGGTCAGGCTCTTCCCACAGAATTATGGGAAGGAAATGTTTGTCAATTCAAGGGCCTTTTTACAAACGCTACGTGTTCTGTGTTTGCGCAAAATCCTCCCTCTTCTCCGATGTTGTATGAAAAATCAGGATGCTGCGTAAACAATTACCTATGACTGTATGCATCTGTGTTGTGGAAACATTAAAAGCCGAAGCATTCATCTTAGGGGCATTCGTTTTCAACACAATTCACACACCTACTGACAAGTTTAATTGGATAATTAGTAAAGGTGTGAGTCAATGGGAGGACAGCAACATCACAACACAGAGACATTACAACGCAAGGAGTGCCATGGATTTACAAAGCCCTCAGTTACTGAAACCTAGCAGAGTGGCTGATGGCCTGTTCTGTTCTGGCCCCAAAGTGGGGGCTGCTGGGTGGACTGTTGGAGATGAGGTGGGGGCTCCTTCTGAGTCGAGTTCTGATTTTAGCATTTTGCATAGATTGTAGTTCTTCACCTAAGTTGACCTCGGCCTGTAATATTTTCCAAGTGGTGGATCCTGGCAAGGGCGAGACGGGCATTTGCCCAGGGCGGCATCTTCTGAGGGGGTGCCGAAGCACCCCATCCCCCCCTCAGCGTGAAATTGGATGGTGAAGTTTTGTAGGGGAGGGGAGATCAGCAGTGAAGCTTTTCAAGGGGGTCACGTGGGCTTTCACTGCTACTGTCTGTCCTGGTTCACACCTCTGCTCCAGAACCTGCCGTAGGAGGCGTACGAGTCATAAGGAGCACAGGTAATTTATGAGGTGTGCTGGAAGCAGGAGGACAGCGAGCTGCAGGAACGTGAGCCCGGCTCTCTCGTGCTGACAGCACACATCTCTGCTGTCCAGCCAGCCGTAGCCAGCGCCACGCTGAGGAGAACACCGGCGAGAGAACGTCAGCGAAAGCGAGGGCCTCCTGTTTCTCTTCCGTCCCGTTCTTTGTCTTTGTAAAAGAGTTATTACAGACTCTGAGAAGCGGGGAATTATAAAAGATTGGCGTACCCTCCCAACCCGCGCCGTCCTCTTCAGAGTTAACAAGCACCTCTGAGCTTACTCTGCACCTCATCGGCACAATGAGAGAGGTAGAGAGGAAAACAGTGCAAGTTTAACTTTCCAGAACAGTCTCTGAGGCTTCCCTTCGTGCCCTCGCCTGTCTGAAACTCGACACTGCCTTAAGTCTGGCCATCTTCCTGCACAGACATACTGTTTTTTTTTTGTCTCCTTTCTGCCATGTTTATTCCTCTTGTTTCTTTACATCGGGGCGAAGGCAACTGTCAATGTTGCTGACGCTTCTGAGCCAGCGAGAAAGAAATAATTCATAAAATTGGAAGAGAGAATGTGCTTTGACTTCTGCGGCAGGCACATATGAAAGAGTCTCCTTCCAGCATGACCAGTGGCTCACTGGAAAATCAGAATGACATCCCAGTAAGGCAGCAATGAGAAAATGTATTGGGTGACTTCAAAAATTTGATTGGCCTGTGCCCCAGGGCTTGGTATTATCTCCTGATAATGATTTTGGCAGCTGTTCATTTCAGTTTTGATATTACTAAGCCAGGTTTGGGTCAGATTTTACTCTCCTCTTCGATATTTAGGCTTCAGTCCACATTTTGCGCTCTTCCTTTTCTTATCTGGCCTTCATAACTTTTACTACTACGGTAAATGCAGGAGACCTTCGTCACTAGATGGTTCTCGTAAAATCCCGGACCAGTTACGATTATGGCTGACGATGTACATTTACATCTGACGATGTACATCTGTTTTTATAGAGTGAAATAATGGAGGCCTTCTTTAATAATTTACACATTTTAAAATGATACAAAATATTTAATACTACTTCAATACATATATACTGAATAAGCATTTGTTTATATTTATGATTTATGATTTTTATATTTTATGATTTCATAAATATAAAACTGCAGATGAATGTAAGCAGAAATGGTTAGTTCTGATCCAGAAAGTACAAATCCAGATCAAGATTTTGTTGCCACCAACCTGTTGACCATAAAAAGTCACAGTGACACAGTACTCAACTGGTTGGATGAAACAAAATCTTGGTCTGGATGTTTACTTTCTGGACCTGAACTTTCCACCTCTGAATGTAAGGCAACCTCTGCTGCTAGTAGTTACAGACAGCAGAGGACCATTCCTATGTCAGTATCTGAGAAGGAATATGAGTGTCAATTTTGTGAAAGGGAAAATGAAGCATTGAACTCACTCATTCATATAATATTTACACATAATCCATTTCTGATATCTATATATAGATTTCCCAGAACAATTGTATTGTCTATTAAAAACAACACTGCACAAAAATTCAATAAGAGAAGGGCATTGTACGGCTTTGTGGGTTAGGCTCGTTGGGTCAAGGCCCTGATGAACAGTCACATCACCATTGGGCCCTTAAGCAATGCCAAATAAATGGCCCGATCCGGTGCTCAAACCCCAGGCTTTGCTCCCACCTTAATGTACAGCATATGTGAAAAGGAGCATTTCAAAGTAACAACAATTTAATAGTAAAAATCGAAAATGTGTTTTAAATTTCATGGTGCAACAATGGAGTATCCCATAAGTTGTGTACATTTATGAGGTTAATTTGGATGCTTTGGAACTGAATGTTTTCCAAGACATCGGGAAAAAAATATGCATGTCATCATGGCGCCAATTAAGACCCTCAAGGTACCTGTTTGCAGTTAGGGCCAAGGAAACATGTTGTGTAACTCAAACCTCCTGTAAGTACACGAGTTTCCCCACGGTGGGTTCCGTCTCTATGGCGATCCACCCTGAGTTCATTTGCATATTTTATGGCATCGGGAGAGGCCGACTGGGAGGAGAGAGAGGGAGACGGGGGAAAGTAACCGAAGCGGGGTTCAGAGGAGAGCCGGGCAGACCCAGAGGCATCGAATAGGCATCCGTCCAGAGCAGCGATGAGGACAAGCTGAAATCAACAAGGCCAGGAAGCGAGCAGGTAGGAGCAGGGTGGACCTGATGAGCTTGCCTGGATTTTGTTCTCCAGAGGGACAGCGGAGAGAAGACACCACAGGGTCACTTCCCGTGGTGACCGAGGCGACATGTCAAGTGCTGAAAAACATGGGGATAGTGTTAGCTAATGTGCTAATGACCGTACACGTGTAAACAACAGCCTAGCGTACGTGGATTTCTACGAGGGTTACCATTTATAAACATGCTGACACGTTGTTGTTTTTAGACTTTCAGTAAAACTCTTATTAGGAATATTGTTATTTAATAAACCAGATACAATACTATTATTTGTTTTGTTCGCTGTCATATTTTTATCCTTTAATCCTCTACTAATATTCACAGGTAAGCCAAGCCTGCAATGGCTGCGCGTTGAGTCATGGTTTCGTGATTAAGATCCAGAGGCAGGTTACGCCGATGTTTAACTTCATAGTTCATTCGGCTAGTGAACCTCACAAGCAGCTGCGCTGCTTGCCGGTGCCTTGTGGCCTTGGAATTTGTTCAGCTGTGTTTCTCTGGCACATTTACGGGGTGCGCTGAAAAAAACAACGATAAGGAACTACATGCGGACTCCGGCCTTTAGTGCTGCTTTATACACAGGAAGCTTTTAAATGATTTACCAGTTGTGTGCACATGTTGGTCAGGGCACAGATGTGGTGGCGTGATGGAACGGCTGGAGTTTTGTGACCAGACACTAAGACTGGAATTGTGGGTAGGGTTGCGACTTGTCACGCATCATTCCGGCCAGTTCTTTTGGAATTTTACTTTCGTTCTGGTGCCCGAGTGCTCAAGAAAGGCTTGTTTTATTTACAAAACGAATGCTGGATGTCTTGGGAGTTTGTGGGAAATCTATACATATTACACACTGTCCGGCGAATCTGTAAGCAAGGACACCAAACGACTGGCCCACTTTTGAAAACCCCAGCATGAATCAAGTCATGTTCAAATCAAAATAGCTCTATATGAAATATTTATGTCATCTTAGCTGCTAGTAAGTGCTTGATGATGTTTTAATAATGTCTTTTGACTTCAGATCTCATTAGTGTGATGGTGGTTGGTTAATGAATTTACACGCTTAACTTTACGGTCATTAAGTCAGCTGAACCACGGTCACTCGCAACGCTTTGAGTTAGTACGACATGATACGCTTAAGAATAATTAGCAAACGAACACTGCCACTTTGTCTTTGAATTTGAAGTTGTTGCTATATGATGTAATGGAGCGAGTGAGAGTCACAGGTTACGATAAGAGTAGCAGAGAATCTGAGAAGTTTTTTTTTTTTGCGCAGAGAAAAAAAAAGTAGCTTTCAAATAACATTGATTTACAAATAGAAAATTATCCTCTGCATATTTCATGCTTGGTATTTGTCCAGAGACATCTCTGAAGCAGTGTTCTGCATAATGCCTGATGAAATATTTAAGGTAATACAAGACCATTACTACGCTGTGCTGATGGTTTTGTAGATGGGGGCCTGAAGAATCTGGGTGACTGGTTTTAGGGTTTTTGTGGCTTGATGAAGCACTGGGCAGGCTTTGGGAAATGAGAGGTATATTGGGGACGACTTTCGTGGCACAGATAGCGATGGAAGAACCACAAGCCAGCTTTGCGGTTTCTGGCAGTGCTGAGAGCAGAGGAGGGCGGGAAGTGTATCTCTGACCATCCTCCACTGAGCTGCAGTATCAGTCACGGCCGGAGAATCGATTCTGCAGCTGCAGCACCCATTTCAGTGGCAGCGGCCCACTGCGGTTTTTATGAATTAGCTTGCGAGTAACGAACACAGCGATTAGGGCTTAGGTGGAATAGATGTGGATTATTTTTTTTCTCTCGCTGTCCTTGGAGAAACAAAATAATATTTATCATTAATTATGAATGAAAAATATAATGCCTTTGTGGCCTAATTCTGGTTTTCTGGTTTGTGCATTGGGGAATTAAAGTATGCGCCTGTGTTAAATTGATTCGATTGATCAATACTTTTTTGGTTCAAAACCAGCAAGACCATTTCAACTAATGAAAATCATTTAATTAACTTAAAAAAAAGACTGTCTGGTGTATTTATTTTTTTGTCAAGGACTTAAAATTATTTACAAACTTTTGTTTGATCTTACACTTCAGGTTTTAAATGGTGTGAATATTAGCAGACAAAAGGCAACCTCATGTGCTTGTTTGTTTGTTGTTGTTTGATTCTTGTTGTTTGTTTATTTGATGTTTGTTTCTCCTAGCTCTGATAGTGTGCCTCACAACCTGGGTGTAAGTGTATCATCTAGCTGCCAGGGCTGATTGATTCTAGGATTTTTCAAGGTGGGGGTTGGGTGGGGGTATAAAAGGGACCATAATTCATACAGAGGGGCCAACCTTATCCTTAGCCAATGATATGTTTTGAATTTGTGATTGACAGGGGAAGGAGCACCCCGTGGCCCCACCCCCCTGTATATTCCTCACTATCGTCATTGGCTTTGACTGCACGCTGTGTAGATTTTATGCTTTTCTTATATCAGATGCATCCTTCCTTGGCATGACTACCACACCCATGCTGTAAAGACTTCACCTGACTTTTGACCGTGACTCGTGCTATTTAGTTTCCTTATCCCCCATTCCTATGCTCATGCCATACTTTTTAACTAGCTATGAAAATTGCAGGGAAAATGCGACGCAGGTCTGATTAAAAATGCGTCGTATGCAGCTGTGCAGTCCGCATCGCGGAGCCACATGCACCGCCGCTGTGGCCCCAGCTTGCATCGACGCCCGCTCCTCAACGAGGAAGGCTCCTTTCAAGTTGTTGTTGTAATTAAAATCCTGTTGGGTTTATTTGCACACTTTCACGCTGTGGCTCGCTCTGACAGAGTGAAGCGCCTGGCACCTGGCCCTTTAGTGATTAACGCGCACAAACACAAACACACAAACGCGCTAACAAGAAAAGGAGTACCGTGCCTTTAAGACAGTTGACTTCACCTTCTGGTACGAAATGTAACATTGTACATCGTCATTCAATATTTCTTAGAGTCTCTTATACTTTTTATAAAACTGAAACTAGTAGGTGACTTTTGCTGTGACAAACCAGATCAGAAAGTTCCTGGTTCTTATCCCGTGGCCTTGAGTACAACCCTTGTCTCTGATTGCCCCAGGAATGACCCTGATCTCTGCTCCTCACTTTTACGTCACTTTGGACAAAGGCAACTACTAAGTAAATAAATGTAAGATTAAAACAGGATGACGGGCAGGAAGTCGCCTGGAAATGAATCGCGGATTGCAGGCCTTGTAGGTCATGAGGTCACGCAGCTCCACTGGCTCGGAGCAGAAAAACAACACGACCAGAGGAGAGACAGTTCGTGGTCCTTCACGCAGCATCCTCACTTTGTAATTGGTTATGGCATTGGTGATAGATCCACATGAATTATGCCCGTGTTTGTTTGTTATGATAATAGCGTCTAGAGCCCAAGGTAGGAAATTCAATCAGCCTGACTTTCAATCCCCTTTAGCTCCATTAATTAGTAATGAAGGCAGTGTCGAATCAGCAGAGGTGTGTTTGTCATTGACGGGAACGTCGCGCCCATGCGTGTCTGCCACCGTGCCGAGCCTGGAACCGGACGCTGCGACAGACACCCGACTCTGTCCTGATTGTGTTTACAAGCGAGATCCCGCCTATGTCCTCGGCATTTCGGGGCGAAACGTGGAGAAACATGCACCGCCTGTCGCGGAAGATTTAGACCGTTCACGCCGAGCTTCCGCAGTCTAATTAAAGTGCTGCTCCCCCAATGACGCGGCACCGGCGCGGCGCTGCGTCCAGTGAGCGTCTGCCGGAGTCTGTCGGAAGCCCGTTCCAGGTAGGAACTGGCAATCATGCTCGCATACGACCTCGACATTAACCTTTCCCTCAAGTACCAATTAAAACTTACTGCGCCATGCGCCGTCCCCTTGAACCGCCTTCAAAGTCCCGGCGATTCCCACGTGCCCCGTTCATGCGAGACGCCATCTGCTCCGCTTAAGCGGCGCTGAGCTTCGTCACGGATCTCGGCCTCTGTCTTCAAATATCCGCTAACAAACGTGGTATTCTTTTTGTGTATCTACCCGCTGTCCGCCTCGACTTATTCGGCATGGGTTATTATGTCACAATATGCACTTTTAGCGCGCCGTCGCTAAGCACTGAAGGGGACGACAGTAGTGATCTTCCTGGGTCTCTACCGTCCTCGACGCTCATTTTATAAGTGGGCTGAAATGAATGTTTGACTTTTAAGAGTGGCATTGGGTGTAAAAATCATGTCACATGTCATCTGCCAAATAAATAAAATGCAAATAAAATAATCTTCTGCCTGCCACTATGGCCCCCACAACCCAGGCTGCGTGCACAGAACTTGGCACCTGTTTAACTCCCCCCTCGTGTGGAAGGAGAAGAGGCTATATTTTCGTCTGGTACCTCTCCATCATACCGTAAAACTCCACCCCCAAATAAAACCTCCGTCTCTTCTGCCCATCCATGTGGATCTATTTTCCCTCTTGAGCGATGCGGTCCTGGGGACGTATCCAGGCGCATCCGTTGCTGCCTCCTGTCCCCGGTTGGTCACCCCATCTGGGATGGCGTTGCCGTGAAACTGACAGCACCACCGAGCCGGCACAGCGCCACGGCCGAGCTGCTTAATGCCGCGCGCGTAAACGGCGGGACAGGGTGCGGGGAATACTGCCGGAAAGGCGGTTATTACTCATTAGGCATGCTGCCATCGAAGCACCCTCAGTTCCCCTCCGCCTTTCCCCGTGCACCTGCACGGTTGTCGGATGCAAGCGAACGGAGACGTGTTCTTCTCGCGTCACGTTCACGTCTCTCCCCACCTGACAGCCACGGTTGTGCAGCTAAACAGAGCTGCGAGAGGCTCCATAAGGGCGAGCTACGGAGCACCCAAGCCGAACGGAGGGGTCAGATGAGAGCTGAGACTTCATACTCCCCCTCCTCCCCCCCCAGTCCGGTGTGTCAGCGTTCATTGTTGTGGGGGGGGGGGGGGGGGGGTGTTTGGGGGGGAGGTGAAGCTCTGAGCCGGAAAGCCGGGAGAAGAGGAGTGTAATGCGAACACGATGAGCCATGCTGTTTATCACAGGCCAATTTCTAGGTCTTTGAGCTGTCAAGTGTTTCAGATTAAAATACATCACAACTGGCTGGTAGGAACATCTACAGGGCTTCAAAGGCAAGCGTGAGATATTAGGATATAAGGGTCAATCCTGGATGGGAAGCCGGTGTAGGGGAAGCACTCAAGCACAGGATGCCTCTATTACAGGTAACTCGCACTTTGATACATGCTGGCGGTGTAACTCACCTTTATTATTGACACCTCAGTCTTAAAACCCAGATAGATTAAATGGAGCTAAAGTGGTAGCTGTGGAGTCCATCTGCCTAAAAAATTACATACAGCTTTTATTTGGCCATAATGTTTTTATAGTTTTTCGCCATACAGACAATTCTGCGGCAGGTCTTTTAACAGCTTATCTAGTACGGGGTCGCGAGGGGACCTCAAGCCTGTGGCAGGGGGCAGGGGGCAGGGGATACCCCAAGCGGGGATACCCCAAGCGGGAGGCCAGGAATTCAGCTAGGCGATAGCGAGTCCAGATCCTCTGAGACGCCGCTAAAACACAAGACGGCGTTCAGTCGGAAAGCAGGGGTCACCGAAGACTGCGCCGCTGTACGGTCAGCAGATGCAGCTCCGCGCTACATCGCCTGCTGTCCTCCTGTGTACACATCTCCTCAAAGGCTATAGGTGGCTCAGTGCTTTGACCTTTCACCTTTAATGTAATCTGGCTACTTATACAAAGCAGCTGCGTAGCTCCAACTATGCTGTCAGATGTAAAGAAATTCACCTATTTATGTGCAACACTGATGAGTAAGTCTGTTTACTGGGTTATTTAGATTCGTACAGATTCATATAAAATCACTTTAAGAGAAAACACTCTTTTTATCTTTAATAAGCAGCATCATTACATGAGCTCTGGATTTAACTGTATCCCTAATTATAGACCATGATCTTCCTATATATGCTGTTGCAGGTAAAACTGATTGGACTTGCATTGTAACATATGTAAGCGTGAAAAAGACACATGTTATTTGATCTGACACCTGGTCTGACTGAATGCTGCGTTTGCATACCAGAGTATACAGACCTGTCTGCATAATGGTTATGCATTCTGAGCCGGGAATAAGCACACACACTGTCCAGCTGAACAAGAGCCGGTCCCACTGTAACCCTTCTACCAATTGGTATATATATATATTTGTGTTTAATAAAACCTTTTTTCCTCTCCAGGACTGATGATTAAGAGGCAGTTGCTATAGTGACGCACTGGCAAGGGACCATAAGATAAGCCTGTAATGGGTCTCTTGGCGCAGCTGGGAGTTTTGCTATGGAAGAACTTCATCCTTCGAAGGAGACAAAAGGTATGCAGATGTGAGTGAGCTGGGCTGGTTCGTGGTGTGTGTGTGTGTGTGTGTGTGTGTGTGAGCAGTGGGGTCAGTTTGTAGATGTCTGTCGCAAGGCAGGTTTGCTTTATAGATACATGTGTGTTTGGGTCAGTAGATGTGTGTGTGTGTCTCAGTCTGCTTGTTGATGTATCTGTTTTGTAGATATGAATGTGTCTTGGCTGGTTTGTATGGATATGTGTGTGTGTGTCTGTGTGTGTTTGGGTCAGTTTATAGGTGTGTATGTCTAGATCTGCTTTAGATGTCTGTGTTGGCTCGTTTGTAGATGTTTGTGTGTCTTGGCTGGTTTGAACTTGTGTGTGTATCGTGGTCTGCTTGGAGATGTGTGTATATGTATGTAGGTGCCTTGGCTGGTTTGTAGGTGTGTGTGTGTTGTGTGTTTGGGTCTGTTTGCAGATACATGGTAGCCTTGCCTAAACTGTACTCACACCAGTATTATTTAAATAACAATCTACAGCGAGTGAGTTCCCGAGTTCTTTCCTTATCACCTCACCTGCCTTCTATTAACATTAATTTTCTCTCACTCTCTCGCATAATGACCTAGCTAACGACGGCCCCAGTTAGCTGTAATCGAGTGCGATGTCACCAGACTTGGGGTGTCAGGCTTACAGGGAAGGAGACGGGGCGACGTGGGGGTCAGCACACAGGGCACTATTTTCATTAGCCTCCCCAGCTGGGGAGTCCCAGTTCCATACTGACTCTGTCCTATTTCATTCCTGGTGGGTGGATCCGAGCTTTGATTTAATTCTAGCCTAGATATCTACCTGCCTGTGTTTTAAATATATCCATAGAGATTGGAGGCGTGTGGGAGAGATCATCTCACAGAGTGCTGTAGAGATAAGGCTCACTGGGGACTTCCGCTACACAGGATACGAGGCGCTAATGAACAACAGTTAATGAACCGGGCGAAGGTCTGTCTCAGCAAAAAACGAATGCGAGCTTTTATCGGAAGGGAAGCTCACCGCTGCTTCTTCACATCTCGAAAACCACTCCTTAGTACGAAGATCTGTAACTGAATGCAAAAACTATTTTCTGAGCATCCAGAAAGGTTTTGAGATGGGACATTTCAGCCGTCAGATGTACTGTACCTTATCATTAAATCCTAAGATGCTTTGGCACGTATTGATTTTTAATTGTGTGGGGAAAAAAAATTCAACCAACCTGGTTACAAGACAGTTCTGAATATTGAGCCCTTTCATAATTCAAGCGTATTTCACAAGGTTTTCTCTATTTCTCTCCCTGACCACATTATTGCAGCACAAATCTGCTAGCATGGAATTATAGGTAATGCCCACCCCAGTCTCATATCCCTGTGGCCATAACCCACCTCACCTGAAACATAGACACACCCATTTCTCATCTATCGATTAATAGCCTACAGGAGATACAAGGACCTTTGTGAGATGTTGAACTTGCTTATTGTTGAACTACTGGCCACATTGGCTACCAGTGGCTCTTGAGCTCTTTCCTGTTGAAATGGAATTGACAATGTGCCAGAAAAAAAGAAAAAGTCTTTATCCAAAGAAACAGACATACCACTATACGGGGAATGGACAAATATTTTGATTATTGTAATCTTAAGTGATACAAACAGGAACCACTATATTTAATTATAGCTATTAATTATACCAAATAATACTCAATAATAAATGCCAAAAGAAATTCCGGAAAAAAATGACATAATGCCTAACTCGTCCCGAGATTATTGTGCCTCTGATTTTCATCAGCATGCCATTCCAACAAACAGAGGCATGATGGGAAATTAACCTGCCAGTTGACACAACCAGAGGAAGAGATCAAAAGCAATGGTGGGAAAGAAGATATAGACCATGAATGGCTTAGATTTCTGAGGATGAAAACCACTCAATTTATTTTGCTTTATTTTATCTTGCTTTACAATCCTCACACATTCTTAAAAAATACATTTTTAAATAGTATTTGGACCAGTATGACGCTAAGTTCTTTTTTTTTCCATTCTGAGTCTGACAGAAGAGTCACCACCGTACTTATATTCTTGGGCTGAACCTGGATATGCAATGACATTTGTTGAAGGTTAAGAACTAAGCGAGTTACAGAAAGAGCTCCTCGCAAACAGCTCAAAGCCAGTACAGAGGTCTGTATGAAGTGCATCCATCTCTCGTCTCGCTTTTATTTTCTCCCTGGGGACATCAGGCGTGAATTCTGGGAAATGCTGACGTTATCACGTGACATGTCGTGCTCAGGCTCTTTTGGGAAACATACGAAAGGGGAACAGATTTCAAATGCCCGGGCCAAATTCCGTACATCCACGCAGAAGCTGCGCACAACCCCAGAAATGAGCCAAAACAAGACAATCAGGCTCCTGGCCCATCTGGCCAAATCCTTGAAATCGTAGCCTTAGCCTGTGGCCACATTCACGGACGATGTGGGAACTCCGCGTTCCTCAAATGCCGCCTCAGTGACCTGGCGCTTTCACCAGAATACAAGGAACGCAGGACTTCAAAATCCCTGAAATTCAGGCAGGACTGCAGGCGATGTCAACAGGGACCGACTACATCGGTTTTAGCAAATGAGGAGCCATTAAAATTGATAATTAGGTCAAAGATGATACGCAATTAACTGGTTCTGGGTCAGTTGGTAGTGAATCTGTTTACCTTTAGTCTGGGAGAGTGTGCATAAATTTGCATCCGAAGGCAACCAATGCCATCAAGGCTGAGCGGAGGCAAAGATATCTGTCAGGTGTGAACGTCTGTTCCACATGCTATGGAGCTATATGCCGGCTCCACGTTTGATTTCCTACTTTGCTCTGGCGGATTGTGTTACTCATAGCAAAACAGCTGGATGTCAGACATACACAGATTTTTTGCAGTCTGAGTGATTTCTTCCTAGGTATGACTTTTGCATCAGGAAATTCTTATAAATATCAAATCATTGTTCACTCGACCCTCTATCTTCATGAGGAATTAATTTGCATGGTGATGGAGGCAGGGCTCTGAGTATGTTGGCCTTGCCCCCCCCCCCCCTTTGGTTTTATGGACTGGGAAAACCATGTGACAGGTGGCTAGATAGTATCTTCTCTTCTCTGCCTTCAAGCTGTCACACCTAAGGGTGGCTTTGTTAGCCCCATCAAGCTCAGGTGTGTCCAATTTAAAACTATTTATGTTGGCATCGTGGGAAGCAGCGGAGAACAATTATCTATTGGGCTTTTGCGGTTTTCTGTGACTGAAATTGGCTGGTTCTTGGAGTCTGTTATTGAGGCATTAATTTCGACTCTGAAATGTATTCAGGGATTGGTAGAAATGCATTTTATAATGGAAAAGAATATTTTTATGGTTCCTCAATGGTTTTGTAAACAATTTCACTAGTAATGAGCTCCAGCAAAATGAGTTTAATGTGATAATGGAGCCTTACAATTTGGCGCAAGAGCCAAAACACAGCCTGGCAATGTGGGTAAGGGTACAAGCAACTCCATCCATCCATCCATCCAACCATCCATTTTCTATATTTTACTTTATACTCACTTGTCCTATTATCTTTCAAAATTTCGCTGTTCAAAAATAAATTACCTCTCATGTCCACACAGTTATGTTTTCCGTTTCTCTTGCCAGACAGAAATCACTGATTTCCACACGGTTGGGCTTTTGTTTCTTCTTATTTTTCTAAAGAATAAAGGAAATGACATGACTGCCTTCCCGCTTTCACAGGTGCGCCTGGTAGTCGAACTTATCTGGCCCCTCTTCCTGTTCTTTATCCTCGTCTGGGTGCGCTCCACAAATCAACCCATCTACCAAGGACAGTGTGAGTATGGCTCTTTTTTGTTAAAAAAAAAATCAAATCTTATAAATTGTCCTGAGTCTCTTCAGCTTCCCATAAAGGTGACTGGCGGTGGGTTGTAATCCACGTATACAGCATCTTAAGGGAAACAGACAAGGTCAACCTTGGCATCTACTGATTCACCAGCACACCACAAATGGACAGTAGCAGGGGACCAGTTTAGGTGGAACATAAAGTCAATATTTTTCACAAAAGGTTCAGAGGCTTGGAGTAACGTTCCTGGTTGTCTAGTGATATTTGCTTACCTCTTTCGAATGACTATTTTTAACTATTCATTTTATGTGTAGTACAAAGTCTATATGTAAATGTTTATGATGCTGCGTCATTAGTTGCACTCTAGCGGTCCTGCTTCTCGAGCAGATGGATGCTAATCAGTCGGGCTGTGTTTTAATGATTCGGTGTGTTAAGAGTTTTCTGACGGGCGGAATCGACTTGTGTCCTGGACGTGGCGATTGTGACGTGAAAGCTCAGCCTCTGCACCAGATGAGGCGTGATGAAGTATAAGAACAATATCTGTCTTCTTTCTATATTTGCCTCCCCCCCAGGTCATTACCGCAATAAAGCCATGCCTTCGGCTGGTATATTGCCATGGCTACAAGGAATGATATGCAATATTGAGAACCCCTGTCTGAGCTCTCCTACTCCAGGGGAAACACCGGGAGAGGTCAACAATTTCAACTCATCCCTGTAAGCATGCCAACCACTTCAATTTGCTACACGGCCCTTTATCACTTGTGTCATACTTCTCTGTAGCACAAAATAGCTTTTCTTTATGTGACAACTTACTGCCAGTTTTGGTATAGATATTGCCAGTCATGTTAATTGTGCCATTTTGTTTCTCAGTGAGATCATATTTAGAATTAACTGTGCCTAGATTCAGTGATATCAATTAATGTAATTATGATTTAATTATTCTTTGGAGGGGAGGGGTGTCTTACTACTGGCTTTCTGGCTTGTTGAGTAATAATTGGTAATGACTGTTATCTGTTGAAATATTGAACGGCAGTACTTGTAACCGCTTCCTTTTAAAGATCCATGCCTGTTCATTGCTGAGGAGTTGGTTCTGATTGGCCTATTGTAATCTTTTCTCTCCGTGCTCAGCCTCAGCATGGCACTGCGCGAATTCCAGTCACTGGTGCTGAATACAACAGCGCTTAACAAATATCAGAGGATCTCCGAAGACCTGCAGCAGTGGCTTTGGTTAATGCACAATGCCAGCGCCGAAAGTGGTACGTGTGTGCAAATGTGGACAGATGCCAGGGCTGCATGATGTCAACGTGTGTGTTTGTGTGTGCGTGTGCGTGTGTGTGTGTCCATGCATGTGTGTGTGTGTGTGTTTTTTTTTTGCCAAAACCTCTAGTCAAATTCTGCATCAGCAAAACATTCAACAATGTGCTTTGACACTCATTTTATTTCTGATTTTGCAATAATATAGTATTTATGTTTTCTATTCTGAAATAGCTTTTTGCATATTCAATTTCTATTGTTCCATTTATGGATTCCTGGTGTCTAAATTTGAATAAATAGAGTGAAATATCAGTGCTGTGCAGCCCTAAGTTTCTTTGTTTTTTAGAGCCTTATATATTTTTTGTTCCTTATTTATTCAATTGGCTTTTTGTTGGAATTTCAGTTAAGTATCGGGTTCGAGCTCGAGGATAGTACAGGAAGGGCCCCTTCTGCGATTCTTCGTGTCCTTAGATGCTGCTTGCCGCTGCCCTTAGCACCTGCATGGAGGTATTAATGCATGCCGAGTGCCTTGTGTTCCTCATGAATTCCTGAAACAAAAACAGATGATTATTTATTACCGAATTTGCATAAGGACTGGCAGGTCGTTCTTCTTTCTAGTTTGTTTTGAGGGGAGTTTGTTTAGCATTATGTCATTCGTACTTTCATAAGGAACCTAATTTACAAATAGGTAAAGGTTTCTCTGTAGTGCCAAATACACAATGGGTAATACAAATTAGCCTTTTAAAGTCATATGCTCGTAATACTGGAGAGTAAACCCATCAACTATTTGCACCAAGGAATAATTTATTACAAATATTTTCTGTGCTGAAGGTCCCACACCATCTGATTGTTATGAGTATGGAGTATGTAGAGATATCAGTGGAGACAATGGCATTAATGCTTACATGATGAACCAGAAGGTGACAAAATGGTAGAGAGAGAAGACTCCTGTCTTTCAGAACAAAATCCATAACTCACTGGAGGAAGAATTATGTTTTTGGCTTTTGCTTAATGCACCTGTGATTGATCATAATAATGAAAACGTGAAATGAACCTCAGGTATATTGGTTCTAACTGGATGTTGATGCTTTTGTCAACTTGTATTTAGGGTTTGAAAAACACAATTTTATAAATGCAAATTCAAATGTTTCCGCACAGACCTTGGGCCTGTATCACAAAGCAGGATTTCTTGCTTAAGATTTAAGGTCCGCCAGTTTAAATGGACTTTAACTTTGTTCACCTACATTTAGCCCAGACTACCTTAAATTCGACAAGTTACCTAAGCAAGAAATCCGGCTTCATGATACAAGCCCATCCACTTGGATTAAGTTAATATTCTATAATCTAGGTTGGGATAGGTTAAGCAAAGAACCTATCTACCATTTCAAGGGGCTATGCCTCTCTGATGGGAAGTACCTCCTGAGAGATTTCAGCTTGGCAGAAGGTGGCCTTTAGTCTGGCAATCTGGGCACAAGTAGGATGTCGCCCATCCAACGGATGGCAGGAGCACGGACTAATCCTCCAACTTGGATAGAGCGAGCTTCACATCTATGTCCAGATCCAGTTGATTGTACAAACCGAATCTCACGCCATTCACAATGACAGCTGCGGGCCATATCCAAGTTGACGGCAGAGAAACCTGATAGCTTAATTTTTAGTTCAAATAACAGTAATGCCTGTAAAAGTGTGCATGTGTGTACAGGCAGTCTCCAAGCTGCGAGCAAGATCCCTTCCCGAACTGTCAAATTTGTAAGTCGAAATAATAATAATAATAATAATAAAACAGTAATAATAAAAGTAACTACATACAGTACCGTTGAAGCCATGCAATGTTTTCACAATCGTCACGAAGTACCGCATGTGTTCGATATTATGAACCATTGTATTTAACCCACATTTTTAAATGGAAAAGGCGTTATGGCAGTACATCCATAACTACGAATCGTTCATAAGTCGGAAGTTACGAACATTGTATTTACGTTATACGTCCATCCTGTCACAAAGACTGTCCTTCAGCAGCCCTGGCAGATTTTAATGTTTATATTTGACTCACTCTTATACACAAACTCGCCTGAATGTAATTCGTATTATGTATTTAAACCATAAAAATGCACAAGCTCTGTACAATACAACAGACGCATCGCACTACGCGTCAAACAAAGATGTCGTAAATCGACCTTTTCCTGTTCCATCCTCATGAGAAAAAACACATCATTTATTTTTTGAGCTTTTAGCTTGTTTATGCATATAGATAAATCCTCGGTGGTCTGTGGTGAAGTCAGTGCAATATGCGCTTTCTGGATATTAACTAGGGCCCCCCTACAGTGATGGGGGTTGGTGAAGTGGTGGGGGGTGGTACATGCACCATACTAGCCTTTGAGAATATCTGCTTTAAGATGTAAGATGAAAAACAAGAGCATTTACTGTGATATGCAGAAGTCCCTCATTTAATCTCATACTTGATCAGCCTTTGGGCTTTCTTTTAAAGTGTCAATATTTCAAAACAACACACATTTTTAGAGTTTTTATATTCTTAAAACATTTTTAAATGTATCTTAAGTCCAGTTTTCAAGTGGATTCTAAATATTATGTAGTTTGAAGGTCAGGAGATACAATTGAATAGACAACAGTAAATTAATCTCAGAATAAGAAAGAGGTAACACTTTACTCAATGGGGCACAAATAATATAGTATTATATTATTACTTAGGTATTAATTAACCACAAACTAAGTCTTAGTTACATACTGATCTCATGTTCGTTTGTCGTTATTGAATCGTGACATGTTTTATCAAGCAGTTACTGTAATTACTATACTTGTTGCTATACCCGTTAATTTGGTAAACCATTGTGAACTACTGAAGGAACTACTAAAGGAACTACTAAAGGAACTACTAAAGGAACTACCGAAGGAAGAAGTGATGAATAACACGTTAAATACTGATGTCATGTTTCTTTCATCATTAATGAATTGTGACGCATCTTACCTTAAGTAGCGACTATATTTGTTCATGATTTGCTCATGATTTGTACTTCAGTGGTAACTGAGTTATTACTAAGTATTTATGCTCCTGATTTGTGCCCTGTGCTGCCTGAGAAAGGCTCCGGCGCCCAAGATAATTATGGCTGATGGGTAGATAAATGTACAATTCCAGCAATTTTTCTTTCATCTGATTGGAGAATTGTCCAGCAATACATTTAATTTTATGAGGATCCATAGTAAATTTCAAGGCATTTAATAATACTGCAGTTTTTCCAAAAAACACTGCCTGTAATTACTAAAAATACTGAAACTGTTCTCTTGCTCTTCGTCCAAAACCTCAGAGTTATGGCTTCAGTAAGAAAAATGTCCCAACGTGTCGGAGGTTTGTTCTTATGGTTTAAGTCCGATCGATCGGTCTTATTGCCCTCGACTGTGGATAATGTTAGTAAAGTGAAAAAAGTAATATTGATATATTTGTTGAAATAGAAGCATTATAAAGAAAAATCTTTAGATGGATGTACTGAGCCAGTGATGCTTGTGTATGTTTTATTGCCGCAGACCATACGATGTCAGCAAATATACGATGTCAGCAAATATACGACGTCAGTGCTTGTTGAATCTGATCTGTTTCTTTACTCCTCAATTCAGTTCAGCCGTTTTCTCTGAAGAGCGTTCTGAAGGACAACGAGACTTTCACCGCCTATCTGAGGGAGAATCTGGCGGTCCCATCCTCTTCTGTAGAGACCATAATGGCCACACGAATTCAGCCCAACAAGGTCTGTTAGCGCCATTACGAGCCTAAAGTATTAAATATTCAGTGTGTACTGACTCTTGTTAACTCAGAGGACGTAAAAATTAATGAATCCTCAGTGTGGGCTGGTGGTGTGTGCGCGTGTGTGTTTGGTGGATTTATTATAGAGTTTTATTATTTCATGCATTTTGTCACCAGCAGGGGTGCTGTAGGAACATAGAAACCCTGGCAGATTCAGGGGGTCCAGCACTTTGCAGAAACCGTAAACATATAAAATTATAAATTTTACTTGGTGGGGGCGGAGCCAAGCTGACATTTTGTCAGGAAACCCAAAATTTCTATCTCTGGCCCTGCCTACGGGCATCCAATCCAGCTTTGTGGTTGTCTTACAGTACATTGAGTCTGGAAGGGTTGCTGAGGTGCAAAGGATGATCCGTAAATAAATCATGACACTTATGCCCTTCATATAGTGAGCCGGGCCTGCGAGTGTGGAGACGTTTTATAGAGCTCGCAAACAAGGGTGTAAATGTGAGGCAGCGTGCGGTTATGGTAATTAACCCAGTAAGTTAATGCACTATCGGCCCGTGCACTGGGGGAGGTAATGTATCATTAACTCGGTAACCAACAAAGCTAACATCCTATTAACCCAGTAACCAAAGCGGTAATTGTACTATCAACTGAGTAACCAAGTTAATTCGCACCGCACACTGAACAGATAATGCAGTGGACAGAGCGACTGAAGCACTGCTTCAGAGCGACTGAAGCACTGCTTCAGGACGGCTACAGCCTTGCTCTACCCCAGCAGGATTTACATAAACGAACAAGAGTGCTCTCAAGCCATTTGCTTATCTACAATAGTATTACTGATACTTCATTCATCCCTGTAGGGAAATTGGGTTGTTTTCAGATATCCCATCATGCTCTCCATGACACACACACACTCACACACACATTCACACACACACAAAGAGGGAAGAAGTGGCACAGAAGTAGGTTATAGACCTGTGCTTGATGCTGTGTTGTTCCTGCTCCAGTCCTGCTTACATGTGTACCCGGGCATGCATTGTAAGCTCAGTCTAGCTGTTCTTATACCTAATATGGTTGCCAACTTTGGTCAGCTGACAGATTTTCAGTTCGAGACACGTCTGCACACACATGAACACGCATTTACATGTATGTGACAGTTCAATTACCTTGCAAATAGTCTCGGGTTTGCAAACTACCTAAACACTTTTGATGTAGCTAATGTTACATTTATAATGGAATAATATAGATTTGCCGTAAATTTGAAAGCGTGAGTGTCTTGCCAGATGCGTAAGAGTTGGAAGCTCCGGCCTAGTTGACTCCTGGACGGCATGTGTAAATGTAAATGATTGGTTCAGAGAGATAACCAATCAGATTGTCTAAGTGGGTCAAGCAACTAGAAGAGGCAGGACCAACCAATCAAATGTCTTGGTCCTGCCTTGATTGATACATTCTGATAAACAAAACAGCAGGATGTACAAGAAAGTTGTGTGAATCTTACAAGAGGCATGTAAGATCGCGAGATGGCTGACAGGCGCCCGAGCTCACTGTGACAAACTGGTGCCTAACGTATTATTTACCCCAGCGGGGGGTTATTGGCAACAATAAAAGCGAAACAGCAACGCGGTCAGGGAGAGAGAACACTATAGGGTGTTCATGATGTTTGTGTATCTGGATGCGAAGGGAAATGTATGTACTGAATACGGGGGGAGACATACTGAGATGTCATTATGTTCTGTGAATTTTCATCCATTAGTCACAAGAGGCTGGAAAACATATTATCAAATAATATAATATACAACGCAGGCAAATGTCTTATAATTTTGGAAATCAAGCCTGCAGCATTCAATGCCTACAGAATAAGTCAGCCATTTATATTAAATTGTTTCTCATTGCGAACGAATATAACAGAGTAGAAACCTTGTGGTTTACTGAGGTAAGGACGTTGTTATAAATACCTATTTAAATAATGTGAATCGTCTGCTAAGTGTGTGGGGGCAGTTTGTTGGTTATGCCTGGGAGAAATTTGCGAGTACGAGCCTGAGATGAGAGTCTACCCGATGCTACCCATCACACCAAGTGCATGACGTATTTGACACACGTGGTGCACGGTGGGTGTAATTCACAGATCACTACAAAGGGTGTACAGGCCCTGATCTGTCCTACATAACACACCTAGCAAAAAACAGGTAAAACGCTGATCGCTACAGAGGGCAAAGGATTTAAAGAAGAACAGCATAGACAGCAAGGCCCGCTGTCTCTGGGAGACAACTGGGTTGGGGTTAGGAGAGAGCCAAGGTGGGAGGAGCTGCGCAACATGGGGGTCCAGTTGAAGTCATTTTGTCCCGGGCCAAGGAATTATGCTTGTCGGCCCTCGGTGACACACCCTCCCCACTTTCATAACCAGACATCGAGTACGCGGTCACAGTCAGCCTGCAGCTTGTCCCTGGAAGCGCAGAGGGCACCTTGGACAGGCTGCCAGTTACGTGGAACACAGAATATAAAACACACAATTACAGGGAGAACAACCTGCGGATGTGAACAGTATTTCTGATTCCTTGGCTTTTTAGGTGCTGGCCTTAAGCGAGCGGGCGGACCTGAAGTCCATCTTCTGCAACGACTCAGTCCTCAAGCGGTATGCAGAGTTCAATTCCTCCGCCGCCGGGGACGTCTTCCGGAACATCACCTGCTCCCGCTCGGACGTTCAGCTCCGGGGAGCGCGGGACGTCTTCCGACAGAACGTCAACGGCGAGAAGCTGGCTGCAAAGGTTCGTCCCGGCAGGAGGTGTCTGCGGCGCTTCTGATTCCTTTCCCTGAAACTGTCACATGAAATTACCGTCGCTGTATTAGCAGTTTCCGTTCTCAGTGACTGGCAATTTTAACATCTACACTAGTGGCCAAAACTGAGGAAACACCCAGCATTTTACCCTTTAAAAATTTCTACGTGACATTGGTGGTAATGTTTATAAATAAACAAAGAACGTTACACATATCATACATTGGACGATTAAATAAGTAATGGGACCAACCACTGAATAAAGTTCTGCAATCTCTAAAAATTGGAAGCGTTTCCACAGTTTTGGCCTCAAGTGTAATAATCAAATGAAACAATGAGTAAAATGATGTATTCACACTCATTAAAACATTCAGTCTTTGAGAGTTAGTTCTTTAATTTCATTCTGGTTTTATTCCTAGAGAAACTGAATGCAAAATGTATTTGTCAGGAAAATGAGCAAATAAGAAATACAATGAGTAAATACGGCTTTTTAAAGACCTGAATCAAGATCACACTGATCAGGCCAGGCCAGGGAGAACCAAACGTTTGAGAGAGTCATAGTTATAGTAGTATGGCAGAGATACTTTAATAACTGAAACGTATCCTTCATAAACACATGGTACTTTTGATGACCTTTGACCCAGTCCTCACATACAACCACCATGTTTAATTGAATTCCACTACGGCTGACCTGCAGTTAAATCTGTGTTTGCTGTGGTTCTTAAATCCATTTAACCAGAAAATTATACCTTAACTGTACTAATGGACATAGGGAGTACTTTTACATGTAATACTACTGATTACTGGTTTTAGGAGATTTGAGTAAGTAGTTTCAAGTGGTTCTGAGTAATAGATGTAATAGCAGATGAATATCGAGACAGATGGCCTGTGTGAATGTCAGCTGTTACTGCACTTAAGCAAATTGTCCCCAAATAAACAGAGGGCCAATGCAACAGCAAATTCATCCCGGGGACCGCTCTGATTAGGGCACTTCAGTGGCTGCGCATTTCTGACGTCTTCCCCTCTAAGCAGGCAAATTAGCAGCTTTAATTTAGCGGGCTAAAAAAGAGGTATCTCTGTGCTAGATAAATCATATCGCGGGCCTCCTGATTAGCTCCCGACACGACTTAGACACAAATCGCTCTCCCCACTCCGACCATTTAGCTGCGATTTCAAAGTGCTCCTAGACGGAATTGGCAGAGTGAGACGCTGATGCTTTTCTCATCAGAAGTGAGATTGGCCTGAAATGAATGCACTCCAGGCACAATGGAAGACCAAGCCAGGCTCCACTTTAAGTGACATCTCCTTGAATTTATAAAGGATCAAAGTTTTTTTCTTTTCTTTCTTTCCTCCCTGTTTTTGCCAGATGCTCAGGGTGTTGCATATTTGTATATTTGAGTTCTCTTCAAAGAACTCAAGAGTTATTGTCTGCCCTTGTCAAGGTCAGCGAAGCACACTTATCAGACACACTCCGTGACAGCAGGGGGCGGCAGGGGTGGGCGGGTCTGACAAGCGGGAGTGGCATGTCTGCGGGGTGCTTTAGTGGCCCACTTCTGTGCCCGAGGGGCCTGGCAGCGGAGGACATTTTTGTGAAAAGCCTCCGCGTGTTCAGCACTCCCCGTTGGTGGGCTCTCCACAGGCGTCGAAAACAAACGTTTACATGGCAGGTTTAGAGGTTATCAGAACTGCTGGAAATCCAGGGTTTCTGTTGTTTTTGGCAATAATAAAACCTGAGATGTAAATCTCTCCCAGGTGGTCTCTTAAAAAATCAGATCCAATTTGTCCATTTCAGATGATGGGTTTGAATGCACTGATTCTCATTGCAGTGAATTTACACATGAGGTTTTATGCGTGCTTTGTGCAATGTATTATTGCAATTAACAGCAGTACTTTTAATTAAGGTTACATGCTCTGTAAGTAGTAGCACTAAAGTGGATTGTTAAAGCAATTATTTAGCTATTGCTAATCAATTGTGCTTCATGTAGCTCTCTCCTGGATTGGACCCTGGTCAAGCATCTGAGATTCTTCGGAAAATCGCAGCCAATATTTCACCAATATTATCAGAGGTGTGTCTAGTTTTTCATTTTTCTTAAAAGATGGCATCATAATAATGCAGTTGTAACCTCAATTTCATTCCTTTGTTGTCTCCCACATACAGCTATCCACATTTCAGCAATCAGCCCTATTCAACCTTGCTGGTTCGTTAGACTTCAGAAGAAACATGTTTGGGACCATGAATCAGTTGTTTTGTGGGACACAAGCTGAGACAAATTCGACAAGTGCAACAATGTCTCGTCCTTCTATATGGTTTTCCCTGAACAGCACAAATGAAAACAGGACACTGACGGATACTGAGAAAAATAACAGTAAGTGAATTAAAATGTATTATTTTAGCAAATAGGATAGGCGTATCATGTTGGATGACTTGACAAAACATAAAGGTACTTTGCACAAAACTCAAGCATGCGCAAAGGTTACTTTGTGTTATGAAGAAATAGGTTAAAATTGAATATATATCGAAATCTTCAATTTGTCAGCGGCATCCCAGCTTCTGTTTTCGGGTGACCTGTTGATCAAAGTCGCCGTGATCCAGATCTCGAGAGGCTGACGGTGTAAGGCGGCTTCCCACCTCTCACATTTCTCCTGATCTTAATATAGAAGTGAAGGTGTGGTTCCAAGCAACAAATAATTTATTTAGGCACCTGATCTCGGTTTCACGTCCGTGAACACAATGACGGCGCAGTCACCCTCGCGTGGCCGTGTGGGGCTATTAAATATGTAGATATGCTGTTTTATGATTGATACGCTGCCTCAAAATGGACATTTCAGGGGGTGGCGGCGCGGTTAAATGTAGCGATAGGGAATTGTAGCGATTTTGACTGATGTGCGGCAGCAAAACGAGAAGAAGCGTAAACCGCACTGGGGTTTTTCCCTAATAATAGTTCAAAGGGACGCTGCGTGACTGCTTGGTTCGGATATTTATTTACGATCTTTATGCCGTCGACCTATTTTGTTTGGCCCATGGGCAACCTCGGGGCTATACTTCTCGAGTGTAATCTCTGAAGGGACAGGCTAATTAAAAGCCACGGTGTCCCGCAAAGTTAATTGTCTGCTGTGTGGGGAAAAAAAAAAAGAAATCTGTGAATGGCTTTAATAAGCTGCCTCTCCCAGATTAACATTCTACCCCAAAGTGAATTCGCTTGGCATTTGCACTACAAATGAGGAAAACAATTCTCCAACCATTTGACAAAATAGAAAGAAAAAAAAAAAAATCAGCGGCCCTCTGTTGCTGCAGTCCAGTCTGGTCCTGGCTCAAAATACTATCTGGGGTAAATGGCCAATTCCTTACTAGTTTACTTTAAACAAGCTGAGTGATGCTCCCTTTACATTCGCCAAGCTGAAAAAGTACTCCAAAGAGCATTTCTGGGATGAAACATCACCTCTGGAAATGCGGCTTCTCTTTAACCCAGATTTATTGCATGGCTGTATTATATGGCCATCTGGCTGCACCTTAGGTCTGGGCTGGTGAGAGCTACACCGCACAGAGCATCACTGTGGGCTCTACTGTACCTGTTTAAGGAAAGAATTTCAAAAACACATCCAGTCTGGGCATCAGTCCTTCGTGACTGTACGTTTACTTTTTGCATACATTTTTATAGATCTATAATTATAACGCAATTGCGTGGTTCTTCGTTGTTCAACTACAAAGCTGCTAGATGTTTTAAAATAGCAGGAAAAGGTTTTAAAAGGGGTTCGAAGATGGAACATTTTCCCAATATTCTGCAAAACGGCTGTACACCTAAATGCTGAAGCATGTTTTGGGGTCTCGCTGGTGTCTGACTGCCAAGGGAGGGGCTATTATGTAAGACTAAACGATCGTTTCATTGGATGGTGCAGCGGGATGCACAAGGTGCTGTCTGTTCTGATCCGGCCCCCCCCCCGCCCCATGCTGCTGATTCTCAGCACTCATTAGTTGGCTGGGGCCCGTGCCTGGACTCTCTGAGGAGCTCACACAAGCGGAGACGGATAGCGGGCTCTATACACGGGGGGGGGGGAGGTGAAGGAAGTGTAGCTCTGATGATTACCGGAGACCGTGTGTAATGTACAGTACCACATGGGTGTCCTCTGGGACGGATTTAATGAGAACTGTTTTTTTTTTTTCACTCTTACCATTAAAGATGGATTTACTGTTGCTGTTGGTCTTTTAATTTATCAGTCTGATAGTTGTAGTTTAGCCAATCCCCAGAGAGAGAGCCCTGAAGGTTTTTGGTTCACTGACTTCACTTATAGATGAACAAGGTATATATATATATATATATATATA